GTCTTCTGTTGGTCACACGACAATGTGAGAACTAGCTGTCTTCTGTTGGTCACACGACAATGTGAGAACTAGCTGTCTTCTGTTGGTCACACGACAATGTGAGAACCAGCTGTCTTCTGTTATGAAACGTTGCAGTTGTAGATAAACTGAGTTTTGGTTTGGATGTGTGTACTCACTTATATACGTTTATTTGAACTGTTTCTTACCACGTCTTGAAATGTGTGCAGATGGTCCTTGGGTAACTTTGTGCAAAAATTGTTAAAAAACAACAAACGAACAAGCAGTCACTATGTAACTTATCTTTTAAAATAAAAAGCATTAACTTGTGACCTCACTTCTCTAGGAACACTGATATTCAGTAACCTCTGAGCTCACTTTTCTAGGAACAATGGTGTTCATTAATTTCTGACCTAATTTCTCTAACAACACTGACGTTCAGTGGCCTGTGACCTCATTTCTCTAGAAACACTGGTGTTCATTAACCTCTGACCTAATTTCTCCAACAAAACTGGTGTTCAGTGACCTGTGACTTCATTTATCTAGAAACACTGGTGTTCGTTTACCTCTGATCTCATTTTTCTAACAACACTGATGTTCATTAACCTCTGACCTCATTCTCTAGAAACACTGATGTTCAGTAACCTCTGACCTCATTTCTCCAACAAAACTGATGTTCTTTAACTTGTGACCTCATTTCTCTAGAAACAATGTTGTTCAGTAACCTCTGACATCATTTCATTAGACATTTCTGGTGTTCATTAACCTCTGACCACATTTCTCTAACAACACTGGTGTTCAGTAACCTCTGATCTAATTTATTTAACAACACTGATGTTCAGTGACCCGTGACCTCACTTATCTAGAAACACTGGTGTTCATTAACCCCTGACCTCATTTCTCTAACAACACTGACGTTTAGTTACCTCCAACCTCATTTCTCTAGAAACACTGGTGTTCAGGAACCTCTGACTTCATTTCTCTAGAAACGCTGGTGTTCATTAACCTCTGACCTCATTTATTTAACAACACTGATGTTCAGTAACCTTTGACCTCGTTCAGATATTCATTGTGGTTGCTTATATTCACAGCAATTACAGATATCTTTGTAACTATCCTCTCTAAAAGTTCAACTTCCAAGTAATATTTCTTGTGCGTTAGTTGCATTGATAATTTGTTCGATAAATGTTTGTCAAATCCTTCTACAGAGTTACTCATGCAATCATTGTAACACATTTTTTGTTGGATAATTTCTTGCCTACAATATTTCTGAACAAATAAAACAACAATAACAAAAAACGACCTAGAACTCCCGAAATCATTTTATTTCCATCCTCATTAGACTTTATCTTCATTCATTAACCCTAGTTTATAATGAAGCTGACATAGAAAAATATCGAATGTTTTCTAGACTGTTAGGGTGATTTTATTTATTTTAAATACTTCAGTTTCATTTGTAACATAAAACTTGATAATTTCAAGTTTCCACTAAGCTATTGTTTTGTCTTTGTCTTAATTCAAATATTAGAAGTCAAAATAAAACTTTTTATCATTTCTAAAATTTAAGAAAGATTTTTTTTTCTTCATAAACTCCACCTGTCCAATACCATACCATGCCAAAAAATTACGAATTAATTAAAATTCAAAATATTATTACCCTCTGAAAACGTCAAGAAAAGGCATGTGACGTCCATGATAAAGCG